CTTTTTGCCGGCGGCGAACTTTCATCGGTTATTTATCTTTGTGAATTTGCGGCCCAACTTGCGCCAGCATGGGGGGGTGCTTTTTTGCCCGCCACTACTGGACTTGAACTTGATGTGACGATCTTGCCGATGTCATGGGGCCAACTTCAAATTTTTCATCCTTTCAATGGAGACACTGACATCCAGTGCCATCCTACCGCATACATCCACTGCGATGCCTACCCGACCGTGCGGATGCAGCCAGACGAATTCCCCGTGGGTGGAAAATAGTGTGTGTGCGACCACCGTTGACCATTGCACATGTTTCGAATCATGAGTTGCATGAAAGCGCAGACCATAAAACATCCTTCCATGTCAGCACAAGTAACTTGACCTAACATGTAAGATCTTTTCGTGTGACAACTTGCTTTTCTATCTCCACCCATCCCCCAAAAGGTAACAGGTAACATCTTTACTCTGTCAACACAAGTTAACGTAACATGTAACATCTGTCCTTATAACCCCACCCATATCCAATAACGTAACATGTAACATCTTGCCTTACATGTAACATCTTTTCTACAAACGCATTCGTTTCTGCTTACAATCTACATGAACGTTATTACGCCCCCCCACCCCCCACCCCAACTCCCATGACGTATCACATTACATCTATGTCAACACAACATCCATGACGTAATATGTTGCTATATGTCAGTGCCTGACTTTCTACTTTCAGTCTGCATGAACGTTATTACGCCCCCCCACCCCACCCCAGCCCATAGCATCAACATGGTTTGCAAGTGCAAGCGGACGTTAACATCCCACCCCACCCCCCAACCCCACCCCCCCGTAGCGTCAACAAAAAAACAGTAAAAATAGGGTCCAATTTTCCCCCCGCTAGCATGTTTCACATTCCTGTCTCTGTTGGGTATGCCTTTGTGGGACTGTAAAATGCCGTTCGGGGAAAAATTATTGCCATCGAAGGAAACAAAAACCACCAAAATCGGAATACAAATTAGGCGCATCGAAATTTGCACGGGAAAAAAACACGTGGGAAGGCAATGTGCCACTCTAACGAAACAAAATTGGAACCGCAAGGCTAGTTCCAAGGGGGGCGGACGTCGGGGAAGGGTCACGTTGCAATTTGGGTGTTTCCGTGCAATTTAAAAAATGGTCCCCGGTTGTGTTGTGGCGTTGAAAAAACGGGGGGTACCAGGTCAGCAGGCCAGGAACGTGAAACCGCAAACACTGTGTGGATCCAGCAACTCTTTGTACTGATGGCATGTTTATCCACAAGTAAAGGTCATGACATGCTTTGGCGCTGCCAAGTGACTGAACATTTATAGGAAAAAACGTGTGCAAATGGCAGTGTTGCAAGAAGATGCACGACAGCCGACCAACATGCGCACATCCGGCTGCAACACCATGTGCGTGGTTTTCCAATGATTTGTTTTGCGTCAATTGTATTTCCCGTGGGGATTGATCAAAGGTGGTTTTGTGTGACAAGTGCAAACAGTTTGCATGACAACACAAAACAAAACATTGAACAAATTATTAACACCAATTTTGTTGAACCTTTATCATGGTCAGATGAATTTTGTAGGGAACACTGCACGAAGTTTCCAGGACAATGGATTTGCGCTTAAAACAAACAAAACTGCTTGCACAATTCACAATGCTTTTGGTTCAAGATCAGAAACCCCCACATTTGCTTTATTCTTTTGGCAGTCAGGTTGCAAGTGCATTTTGAGGTGTTGAGGCGAGATGAACAATCAAACAACTATCGGACAAGGTTGTTTTCATACAGTCGGAACCACTGTAGGCGCCCGCACTCGGATGGTGAAAAAAAACACCGGTTGAAATCAATTCCATAACGACAATTTGTTCGGCAAACGTTGTCATGTGATGATGTCTTCACGCCACGGTTGTACTTTTGAGGCTGCAGTGTGTGTATGTGTGTGAGTGTATCACCAGTGTGTGAACTGGCTGAAATTCTAGCACTGGTGAATCCTAACGAATAATGGTTTCTTTGTGCCTTTGTTGCAATGTGATTCGGATGTGCGGAGTCCTTGCCTTTCCATTCCAGACCTGCCCCAGGACACCCTAGCTTCAGAACTTCGTGATTTACACAGCAGATTGCTGCAGCAATATCGGCAAGCACTTCGTCACAAAACAAGCGGAAAACGTCCGAAAAATTCCCATCCAAGCCACGGGCAGGGAAACCTGGACAAACAACATAATTTTATCCGATTGAACATATCTTTAGAAAATCATATGATTTCAGGTATTTATTTTGTTATTCTGACTTTGAAGGCTAGGGTGGAAAAATACAACCCCAAAAATCGGTCAACCACATGTCAATTCAGCAGCACGTAGTGTTACTAGTTGTTCATTTGAAATTTGGTGGGTGCGTGGAATTTGCTACACTGGTTACTGAGGATCTGGAAGATGGTGCTCATCGAGAATTTCAAGTGTCAACAGATTCATTCGATCCCAATTCAGTGCGTCACTCAGGCATACTTGGGAGTATTTGGGTTATCGCGCTTTGTTTGTCTGTTTTGCGTGCTTTTGTTCGGCTGAAGACGTCCAACTCGGGATGAAAGGTTTGAAGATGGAGAGTTCAGAGGAAACGATCAAAATTCATCAGATGCCAAGGTCTTCGGTCCAAAGCTTGATCGTTCTTCAAAACAAGGCTGGCTGATAACTGGTTTTGGAATCTGGATTTGCTATGAATTTTCACTCAGGCCTTTTTGAAACCCTCATCAGTTTGACATAAAAAAACAAGGAATTTTGTTGTTGATTTTTTTTGCCAAAATTCAGAGATGTCGGGAACATGTTTTCTAAAAAAAATATGCAATTGCATTATTAACATTGACGTTGGCAAATTCACCTCCCTACCCTCGGCAACATCTTGGCAAGTATACCCCCGTTGTTGTTTTTGCTTGGATTCGCTTCAAGTCTTCCACAAGACACAAGACCTTTTTCAACTGGATTCTCTCTGTGTCAGTCAAAAAAAATTCAGTTTCCGCAGGAAGACTTTGTGGTGACAAGTCAGAAAAATCAAAGCCGCTGGAGCCGCTGGAGCAATCGGAACATTTTGTGGAGACTGCAAAGTCATCAGCAGGTTCTTCAGACTTTGAATGCACGGATGAATTTGGTATGTTGAAGTCTGCAGACCAGGCAGGGTGATACCAAAAGTGAAATCAGATATTTTTTACTTACAGAAACCACATAGAAGATGCCGCACTACTAAAAAACAGGGTAGTCTGCCAAAAAAGGACATTGTGAGGGCCCGTCCGGTATCGGAACCCATTGCAATTTCGTAGATAGAAGGGTTGGATAATGATATGTGTGCAGGCTGAAACGATACTTCAAAAGTGGGGTTTGCTTGGGCTGCATCTCATGGAGGTGCAAGTCAGTGTCTGAGACTCCGGGCTGTGTGATTCTTCTTTCACATGCAATTGAAACATCTCCAAAAACATTTGGAGAGTCCCATGGATTCAGAAACGGCAGACTGACGGGTGGAATTTTTTTCAGCAGTCCGTAATTTGTACAGAGCTCCTGTGCACACACAGCAGAGTCACACACTTGCTTGCTCAGAACTGTCATTGCGAATTCTGATGTGGAATGCATCTTATGTGCAAAAACACCAACAATTAAGTGACAAGATGAATATATATATATACATATATATACACACATAGAAGAATAATCACAGGAGACAATGACGGTATAAACCAACAGCGATAAAATATATAGGTCCCCCCAGCTACGACTTAAATGCCCCCAGGGGCGGGACTATACATAAAAAAAAAGCTGCAGGCACAGGAAGCCGGGCACGTTTCCCTTCCCACTCATGTCCGCAGTTTCATTGTGCGTGGTGGGACATGAGTGCCACACGCCCCTGCAGTAATGAGAAGTTTTACATCTATTCAGATGGCACACACACACACACCCTGCCGCAGCAGGGTGGGTGAAATGGTGACATGGAAATGAAAATTAAATAACAGTGAACATGAGATGATACCTTACCTAACCGGGACACGAGACGGGGAATCCAAAAGAAGAAAGGAAAAAGGAGAAAACACCAACACCACACACCTAGCCCAAAACGGCGAACCCTGGAAGGGCAAGGGAAAAGAAAAGGCGGAAGGACGACGGGCCAAAAACCGACCAGAGGTGGCGGGGGGACGGAAGCGCCTGACATAACCTACAAGGCGAGAGCCAAACCTACCTCGGCACGCGAATGACCCAAACCTGACCAAACACGGGGGCACGCATGAGATAGTGGACCAACGGGGAACTAGTTAATGGCAATTGATGCAACCACAAACAAATGCACAGGATCGTGATAAGGCTCGAGGCCCTCGGTGGTCAGTTCAACCCTATGGACAGATTAAGCGTTCAACCCTCGAATTGGTGCACAGTTGAACCGACCGTACCAACGACGAAAAAAAGAAAAAGCACCATACCTGCAAGCATGTCCTGATGCCTGGAGATCCGTGTTGAATGTGCAGTCAAAAGCTGAAATGTTCTCGAGCAGAGTTGGAAAAAAGGAGGTTGTCGCAGCTGTCATCTACTCCAAGGACAGGTTGTTCAAAAAAGGTGACTGCCCAGACTGCGGCCAATGGTTGAACCAGTAGACGACGACTGGGTGAGACCCGAAACATGGCCAACTGTTTCACTTTACTTCAACGAATTACCAAGTTGAAATGTGTTAATTCGGCGATCAGGTCGAAGGGTCAGAAATCCTACCTAGAAAGGTATTCCCGGAGGGGCTCACGGCATCTTGTCGAACCGACGTGAGTAAACACACTTGCTCAGAACTGTCATGTCGAATTCTGATGTGGAATGCATCTTACGTGCAAAAACACCAAAAATTAAATGATTCGATGAATATACATATACATATATATAAATATATACATAAAAGAATAATCACAGGAGACAATGACGGTATAAACCAACAGCGATAAAATATATAGGTCCAGGGGCGGGACTATACATAGAAAAAAAAGCTGCAGGCACAGGAAGCCGGCCACGTTTCCCTTCCCACTCATGTCCGCAGCTTCATTGTGTGTGGTAGAACATGAGTGCCACACGCCCCTGCAGTAATAAGAAGTTTTACATCTATTCAGATGGTACACACACACACACCCACCGCCCACACATGCGCATACATGCGCACACATGCGTAAGCATGTGCACGCAAAAAACATATTGTCGGCAAAAACCCAAAGGCCTCAGTCAGTGTCTTTTTTGAACTTCAGGCGTCAGGTCTACGCTGAGGCAATTTCTGGACCCCGACATGTGCTTGGCGAACCAAGTGCTTACTCCAATTGTCCTGTCTTCCTATTTACCAATTTATTTAATTACCCTATTTACCCTATTTACCCTATTTACCTTTTTACCATTTTACCTTTTTCCTACTTACCTATTTCCCTTTTTACTTATTTACCTATTTACCTAGTTACGTATCTACGTATCTACTTATCTACCGATCTACCAATCTACCTATCTATTTATCTATCCATCCATCTATCTATCTATGTACCTATCTATCTATCTATCAATCTATCTATCTATTTATCTATCTATCTATCTATCTATCTATCCAGCTGTCTATCTGTCTATCTATCTTTCTATCTATCTATCTAACTCTAGTCTAGTCTACTCTATTCTACCCTAATCTACTCCAACCTATTCTAATCCAATCTAATCTAATCTTATCGTATCCTTTCTATCTATTTATTGATCTAATTGTCTAAGCTATGTATCTGTGTCTGTATGTACCTATGTATTTATGTATATAGAAGGGCTCTTTTTTCCCGCAATTTTTTCTTTCCTTTTTTGTTGATGTTTGTTTCCTTGGTTTCCTGCCTCTCTGCTTTTCCTTGCTTCTGTACTTCTCTGTTTGTTTGCTTCTTTGCTTCTCTACTTTTTCGCTGGTCAGCTTTTTTTTTTCCGCTTTTCCATTTTTTTTTTGCTTCTCGAACTTAACTAAACTCGAAGAAACACTATATAGATAAACCTAAACCAACTCTAAATCAACAATAAATAATAACACCCAAACCAATCCCCAAAAACAAACCCTAAATAAATCTGAAACTTAGCCCAAACAATCCCCAAACCAAAACTAACTGGATCCTAAACCAAACCCAAAAAATATTTTAATTTAAACCAAACCTAAAAAAACTTAAACCAACCCTAAATAAATTTTAAACCAACCCTAAATAAATCCTAAACAAACCCTAAATAGATCTTAAGCGAAACCTAAATAAACGCTAAACCAAATAGATCCTAAACCAACCCTAAACAGATCTAGAACCAAGTCTAAAGAAACACTAAACCGACCCTAAACAAACCCTAAACCATCCTTAACAAAACCTTTAATCCCAAATCCCCAAAAAACCTTAAAACCAATCCTAAACAACCCTAAAACAGACCTTAAATCAAACCCTAAACCACCCCCAAATAAACCCTAAACCAACCCTAAGTAAACCCTAGTTGCAAAATACCATTCAACATGAACAATTGGAACAACAAACCGTTGCAAATACCATGGAAAATGAGAGGTTCGAACTCCAAAATGCTGCAACTAGCAAGGAAAACGGACAGAACAGGAAATCAAAAAAAAAACTGTAGACCTGCAATGTATGTCGTGAATTTTATGAATTTTATGAATTTATTGAATGTAATGTAATGTAATGTATGTGATGTGATGTGATGTCATGTCCATGTCTATGTTTGTGTTGTGTTGTGTTGTGTTGTGTTATGTTATATTATGTTATGTTATGTTATGTTATGTGTGTACTGTAGCGTAGCGTAGCATAGTAAACATAGTGTATTGTAGTTCAAGGCAAAGTAGCAGCGAACGGCTATGCAGGCTCCTGAGAAGCAATACGTTGCACAACGCCAATGCGGACAGTGCCCGAAATGTATGTAATGTGTGGAATGCAAGGCAGTGGAGGTAATGAGATGTTTTTGTGAGCCCATTCAAGTAAGCTAGCCAACATATAGAATTTCAGGGAGTACAAGAGGAGGCAATGCAGTATGAAGTACTGTAGGTTGCTAGTACTTACTGTCACGTAAATTACGTATGCAAGAATAGCAACAATTCGCTGACATGGTAACATGGTCCCGTACACACACACACACACTTGTGCAAAACACATTAATTCGATGTGTCCCCTTGTAAGAACATAGGAGAGCATTCTGATTGGTTTTTAAGAATTTCCAGACACTGATCCCTTGCCTTTGCAGCAGTTTGGTTAAAGCTGTGTTTTCCAGCTTTGTGTTCGGAAGCATCGACCTGTTCTATACTGAAGGCATACCCGCGCAGACGAGAATCGCCATCAATGATGAAGGACACCGCTGCAAAGGTTTGCCTCAACTTTGGCAATCCCACTTCTGAAACATGTGCTGCTGCAGGATGAATGCAAGCATGAACTGAAGATGCCTCCCTGCAGCAAAGCCACTTCTAATGTTTTCCACTAGTATGACTCATGGATTTCAGATGCAACCATGGAACACAAAGATACTGCTGTCCATTCCTGCTGTTTGGCTTGCACCACAGGGTGATTTTGTGGGTGATTACCAAGACAGTCCATTGCTGCTACCTGTCAATCGCTATGCTTTGCAACTTCAAGGCATACTGCGTGGACCCAATCTTTGCGAGAGTCCTCTCGATTCATGCGCAGCAGGAGAGCCGTCTTGTTTGCCATGGGTTCTGACTTGAGCAAACCCAATCAGGAACAAAGGGCCAAAGATGTGAACAGAGGCCCAACTCGACTCGAAAACCGACATGTGCGAAAGGATTTGGGCACACGGCCAATGCAACAACGGGTGTCTCCATGGTGAACATCGAAAAGTGAAACCAATACAGACATCCACAGAACATGTCAAATTTCCAGCTGAAAGGAGGCCTCAGAAGTATCAGAAATCTGTGCCCAATGCCTTAGGAACAAAACTTGTGTCAGAAATCCACATCAAACAATCTTTTTGGACACTTGTGTCAACATCCCGCGATCTAATGCTGACCCAACAACCACGTTTCGGACCTTTGTGGGCGTGCGCCGACATGTTTACTTTTTCATTCATATCTTCAGCTAGACGCTCGAGGCGGTGATCGCTCTCGGTCAACAGGCTCAGACATGTCGAGTCCCCTAAAGGAATAAAGATAGAAGCATTAAATGCATACATATACATCAAGGAACAATATCACAACAAAAACAAAAGAAAGCACATGGAAGTAAATATTTCAACTGACAAGTTAATGGTGGTCATCACGATTTTGTATCCTTCAACATTAGCAGTATGTTTGAAAGTTTGATCTCTTTTCACATCTCTGTTTTTGTTGCTACTCTGCAAAGCCAACACAAAAAGGCAGCAGCATAAAAACAAGTGGACTCAAACACCATGATCAAATTCATGAAGAGAAGATCTTACAACGTAACATCACGCGTGTGTGCAAGTGCAAGAGAAGATCTTACAACGTAACATCACGCGTGTGTGCAAGTGCAAGAGAAGATCTTACACGTAACATCACGCGTGTGTGCAAGTGGAAGAGAAGATCTTACAACGTAACATCACGCGTGTGTGCATGTGGAAGAGAAGATCTTACAACGTAACATCACGCGTGTGTGCGTGTGCCCCCCCCCACCCCCCCCACCCCCTGTTCCCCACCCCAAAAATAATAACATGTCATGCGGGCACAACTTCTAACTGACGGGCATAACTTCTAACTGACGGGCACAACTTCTAACTGACGGGCACAACTTCTAACTGACGGGCATAACTTCTAACTGACGGGCACAACTTCTAACTGACGGGCACAACTTCTAACTGATGGGCACAACTTCTAACTGACGGGCACAACTTCTAACTGACGGGCACAACTTCAACGTACCACCACGAAACACTGCCCACAGTGAGCGAAATGAAGATAAACGCGCCCTCACAGGCAGTTTTGCGCTCTCCCCCGTGCGCGCCGACAGGGTTCCGGAAGGAACAACCAGCTCAAGTCCTACCAGAACAGTGCTTAGACGCATTTCTGCTTAAAAACACAAAAGCAGTGTGTGAGGCCAATTTATTTTCAATGCCTTCTCCTACTCAAAGATATTCCTGTGAGTGCTAGAGATGCCTGGGGATTTCTTTTCACAGTCACCTATCAAACCATCTGAGCCAAGGATGAGGCCCGACCCCTGGGCACATGGCACATGGCAGTCATAAGTTTGCAGTCAGAGACACGAGTCACTACGAGTTTGTCCGCAATCCTGTTTTTCTTGAGAGATTCGCAGGACTCTGGTCCGCGGAGTTTCAAAGGCCGCGTTGCTCAGAACTGGCAGAAACCCACAATGGAATTGCATGCAGTGTACGTTTGGTAAAACTAAGATAAAGAGATGATATTGCAAAAGCCTTGTAATGGAGCTGGGGCTGCTCATGATGCTTGCGATAATGCTTGTGGCAGTGCTTGCCATTATGGTTTCTTGACTGCCAGTTGTTTCAGCCTGAAAGTCCTGGGCAGGCCTCGCGAATCAATGAGAAAGTCTTGGACCATACATCCTGTTTGCAGCCCCTGATTTTGGGACCTCAGCACCTTGGCCTTGATTGCCTGTGTCGCTCAGATAAACTGGGAGAGGGGAGTGTCGATGACATTGTGCACAGGAATCCCAAGAGGCTATTTTGGATGCTTGGCATGCACTCATGTCATCAGTTGCTTTTGTGTTGACCGAACAACCTGCCACTTGAAGCCAAATGATTGCCCTGCAAGAAATAGCGATGCAACTTGCACAATGCAGCGGTTTTACTTCGCATGTGCAGTTTCAGTTGCCAGGAAGAACAAGGCACCAAAACACTCGGATTACAATGATTACACAAGAAGGGTGAGCGATGATGAGCATGATATCAGGACGTTTTTTGGTTTCCTCTTCATCCTCTGGGATTTGGTGACAATACCAATGCAGCTTTTCGACATACCAGGCTTTTCAGGCCCAGGGCACGTGAAAATGCTTCAGAACCTTCAAGCAAAGGTGCGCGCATTCCTACCTCCCTGTCGCAGGTTTCCTGGACCTGTTTGCAGAGATCACCTTCTACTACTGGGTTTGCGACATTTTTTTAAATTTTATTTTCTCTTTCGAGCGCCAAGGCTGGCAAGAAACACCCTCCATCTCTGTCAATCATAGGACAAAGCTAGTCGTTCTTATGTTGTCCATAGATCAGGCTTGAACTGGCATGTCCACTGCATGCCTTTGGTGGATGGTGTCTTTTCCGACCAAAGGTCAACATTTTTTTCAATGCCAGAGTTGGCCGTTGGATTAAAGCCCTTTGCGGCCCTTTGTTTTTATGCCATTAAGGCTGCCATTATATGCCATGGTGTTTCTGGATCAAGCACTGTAACAGAGCAATGTATTTTTTTTCCGAGATGCTGAATTTTGGATCAGGCCAGCTTGAAATGAGACCAAGAGTGCCTTGGTTGCGCTAGCCCCGTGTCCCGAGTTGTGTGACTGCTCGCTGAATTTTGCTTGGTGCCTGTTTTTACTGGAAACTGTGCTGTGCGCAGCTTGTCAGGCAATTGCCATGCATTATTTGCGCTCCTGGTTTCCTCTGGCCAGAAACCCAGACTCAAAAAAACACAGGCGTGTAAACACGCCTTGCGGTCTTGAACACAAACACGGAGCAAGCTATTGATCAAGTTCCTCCCTCGATTATAGGTGAGACTAAAAGGCGTACTGTTTTTTGTTGAACCCGTTGAACCCCAAGAAAAGCATTCTTCTAGTCATCTCATCGAGTTCGTGAAGTTGACACTCGAATTTGCTCGTAGAAAACTGGTTGCCAACTTCAAGCATTCGGACGGTGCCAAGGATTGCCTCGTGATTGGCATTGACATTGCTTTGCGCGTGGTGGAAGCTGTTGTTAAGGATAGAGGACACTTGCTCGCAACAACACTTCCATCAATGGCCTCCTTATTGTCAAGTGTGGTTTTTCTAGCGAAGAGCCTTTGGATCTTCAAAAATGTGCGCTCCTGTTTTGAGCCACAGTACAAATGCAGATGACGAACTATCCTTGAGACTTCACTCAGTGTATCGAGTTGTTGAAATCAAGCCAAAAACATGCTTTAATGTAGCACAGCCTTTTTTCTCTACCTTTTGCAGTTGTGGGTGTTGAAGAGCTGATGGCGTGGATAAACAAAGGACGACTAGTCCAAAGCAAAACGAAGGAAGTGTGAGAAACGAGAAAAGAAGAGAACGGGAAAGGCGGTGGAAAAAGTGAAGGCTCCGCTACCCGCTTTAGTTATAGATCGTCGTTGGTTCCAGTATAGTATCCCAGTTTCCCGAGGTCCCGGAACGCGCGGATTGACTCGTACTTTCGGTCAGTTGGTTGGGGACATGCTCACTCTGTTTTCCGGCACCCCTCTCATCACTGCCCCTTTGATGGTTTGTTTTTCTGTGCGGTGGTCAGTGTGGCGGATATGGCTGGAGTTGTGTGCTGCACATTTTGCAGGCTTGATCACCATAGTCCTGAGCATCGACCGCACGCCAGAAAAGATAACGTATGTTTAAATTAGAACAGAAGAAAAAAAGGATGAAAAAAGGTACAAGTTGTACAAGCAAGACCCAGGAATACCCAGGAACAAAGAAGACAGTGTAAGACTACCAGAGCGAGGTGGAAAGCGTAATGTCCAGCCCATTCCCGTATGCTGTCTTGCTCTCTAGCTTTAGCAGCTTAGCTCTTTTCCATAAAGCAGCTTTATACCATAGAGGAGTGATAATGAGGAGTGGGAAGGATTGAGCCCAGGCATGAGAAGGAGAGAAAGAAGGAATTGGAAGGAAGGGGGGTGAGATGCGTGAAGCGAACAGGTTTTGTCGGTTTGCACAAGAAAGGCGCGATGAATAGGTGTCCAAACAAGTTCGACGTGGAAAAATACCGGAAAGACGGAAAGACGCGCGAAGCAGAAAACATTCGTGAGGTGACATGAAAGGTTGGTTTGAAGACAGAATAACATTGAAGTGATTGAAGTCATGGTTTTGGAAGAGATTCTTACAATGCTTTCCGGAAAAGCCAGCTCCTTTTGGATGGAGACGTAGTGGTGAGCCAGTGTCAAGTCCTTTCTGGAGCGGCAACGGCAAATTTGCCAGTTCAGGTGCTTCCTCGCAAGTCCAGTGTTTTCCCGAGATAGCGAAGCTATTGGGGTTCTTACTTCAAGCATAGGATGAGTGGGATATGTGCGTTTTGGAGCGGACATGTTGGTGCCGCTGCAGGGTGCCGCTGCAGGGTGACGCTGCAGGGCAGCTCAGGGTGCTGCTGTTAGAGTGTTGTGTGCGCTTCGGATCTGGCCTGCTGGTGCCGCTGCTGCAGGGTGCTGCTTCAAGGTGCTGCTGTTAGAGTGTTGTGTGCGCTTTGGAGCTGGCCTGCTGGTGCCGCTGCAGGGTGCTGCTGCAGGGTGCTGCTGCAGGGTGCTGCTGTTAGAGTGGTGTGTGCGCTTTGGAGCTGGCCTGCTGGTGTGCCGCTGCTGTCAGAGTCGTGCGCGCGCTTTGGAGCTGGCGGGTGCTGCTGTTAGAGTGGCGTGTGCGCTTTGGAGCTGGCATGTTGTTGGCGCTGCAGGGTGCCGCTGGAGGGTGCTACTGTCAGAGTTCTGTGTGCGTTTTGGAGCTGGCGTGCTGGTGCCGATGGAGGATGCCTGCAAAGTGCGGCTTCAGGGTGTTGTGGTGTGCGCGTTGTGGACTGCCGGTGCTGCCGTTGCTGGGTGTCGCTGCTTTGTGCCGCTGCAGAATGCTTCTTCGCAGTGCTGCTGTCAAAGCGAGCTAGCTTGCTGGTGCCGCTGCAGCTGCAAGGTGCGGGTGCAGGGTACTGTCAAAGGGTTGTCTGCATCTTTGGAACTTGGGTGCTGCTACAGGGTACTGCTGTCAGAGTGCAGTGTGCGCTATGAAGCTTGGGTGCTGGTGTCGCTGCAGGGGGTGGCTGCGAGATGTCTATGGCAGTGTGGGTGTTGGGCCTGATGGAGACTACGTTTATATGCCGTAGCAAAAAAGGCGAGCGCGTGGATGCCAGCAAAAATATATCTTTTGCTATCTGGTGTCTATGCTGGCGTAATTTGATGTTTTTCTTTCAGGAACATCTGGCGGCTTGCAGTCCGTGCGATTGTTGCGAGCCTTGCGGCTCCTTCGATTGATGCGTCTGTTACGCGTGGGGAAACTCAAGCAGGCACAATACCGAATGTTTGCAGCCTAATCAACATGCGCGCATGCTAGATGTCTTACGACTGGTGCAGCTTGTTGGCTGTTGGTGTTGTCGCTCTATAAACTGTTGCGAGATGTAAGACTTCCCTATACGGCTGAGATTCTTGGGTGCAGGCTTTTGCGATCATAGCAAGCCGCTTCACATCGCTTTACTTCCTAATGATTATGAAGGTGCTCGCTTTCAGAGTTGGAAGTTGGAACTTGATGATGATGATGATGATGATGATGATGATGATGATGATGATGATGATGATGATGATGAACCAATGGGCAGTTTGCCATGTTTTGGTCACTGACGAATTTGATGACTGATTGACGTTTGATTGACGTACATTGTTACATACCTCCAAGAGACCAGCAGGGCCTTGACGGCTGGTGAAGTTTAGAAGTTTAGACAGTAAAGCACACGACTTGTCGACAATGATGCGACATGGAAAACACATTTAATTCCTCTTGGGCTTCAAACAAGCAAAACAATTTCAGCACATGGTCAGGTCCTTTCCGGACTTGGAATGATTCTTGTGGTGAATCACTACATTGCCTGCTTCTGGTATGGTGTGAGCCTAAGGGTGCATTGCTTGACAGCTGCAAGCTTTGATTTGGATTGTTACATAAATGTCACATATGTTTCTTTGATACTCCTCAACAGGGAAGCGTTTAGCCGGGAAAGGTTTGGGTTTGGTCTACCACGAGAACAGTTGGCTCCAGCAAGCGAATGTAGCAGAGGCTGCGGTGTGGCAGACGTGCAGTCTTGGAAATCTTTTAGTGCATCCACTGCACCTAGTATTACAACTGTCGAACCAGATGAACCGCCTGAGGACTTCAGAACCTTTGCAAACGAATGAAATTGAAGTGGTTACTATGCACTGCATTTGTCGTTCTTGCTGTCAATGGCAGAGAGTAGCCATGCGATAGTGTCAGGGAGCAGTTGTCAGGTTTTGTAGTGGTTTGTGGTTTGGTGCTTCACACTCCTTGTTCTGAAGGGTGAGGTGAAGGAGGGTTGCAGGAGGTGGACCACATGTAGAGCTGCTACTTGGTCCGTTGCTTCGTTGCTCTGCTTCATCCTTGTTTTTCCTAAGATACCAATTCCACAATGCCTCTCTGGGCTCCTGAAGGGACTTTCAGAGATTGGACCCTGAGCTGTTTCTTCACTTGAAGATTGCTACTCTTGGTGCCCCTTTTGTTTTTTTCTGCATGCCCACCTGTGCCTTGCGAGCGGCCAAATGGAGCGGCTGGTGCCCCGTTCGCCGTTGTCCAGCCGTTTGCGGAATCAAAGCGAGATGATCCAACTCATCGGGAGTTGCAATCACGAAGAGGCACTGAGAACCCGGCTCGAGAAGGGATGGAGAAACAAATCATCTCGTGACCAAACCCGAACTCCGAACAAACTTTATTATGGTCATCTGACTGAAACTCATTTTCGAATCTGTGAGAAAGGCTACAGCAGCGCACCGAAACTTCAGACATTGTGGTGCACTGACCACTGGTCGCACCATTCAACTGATGTAGGAAACAAAGAACCATAAGCACCAAGGAACTTTGATCCCAACGAGTGGGTAAAAAATGTATCTTTTGGCGTCCAGACATATGCGAGCAATGGACAGTCTCTGCAATGATGGGCTCATGTCACATACGACATTTCGAAAAGAAGGCCGTGGCTGGGGGTATCCTTCAAAATGGTTTGTAAACACGCAATAATGAGTAGAATTTTTGGCCCCTGTGTTTTCTGTCTATGCAATGTTGGGGGGTTCCTTTCGCATCCAGGCCATGTGTACGGTCATGTCGGGTTAGCAAGGGTTCTCAGCTGAGTAATCGGTGCGCTGTTGCTGTGCGTTCTGATTGCGTTGGGGCTGTAATGGGAGCAGTTGGCACCATGAGGGGGTTGTGAATTTTAGGCGTTGGCAGCGGAGAATTTGGTCCAACATTGCACGCTGTTTGTGTATGTATGCTGTGTGTTCAGACAGAATCTTCTGCTGTGGGAAACTCCCTTCGCCAAAGCCGCAAGAAATCTTCGCAATTGCAGGGAAGCTTCTCCGAGGGCTACATCTCGGCGCTGCATTGGAGTTTGACGCAGTTTACACCTGCCACCAACAACATCTCGCCTGTACCTTGGCTTCTTCGCTTCCCGGAGAAAGAGCAAGAAGTTCTTATGGTAGGTGTGCAGTTCGTATGACGTAGCATCAAGTGAAGGGAAAGTTTCTATGACGTAGCGTCAAGATGTGTTCATGACATAGCATCAAGTAGGTGCGCAGTTCCTATGACGTAGCATCAAGTGAAGGGAAGTTCCTATGACGTAACATCAAGAAGTTCTGATGACGTAAGATCAAGATGTTCTTATGACGTAGCATCAAGTGAAGGGGGTTTTCATTGACGTAGCATCAAGAAGTGCTTATGGTAGGAGTACAGCTCTTATGACGTCGCATCAAGTGAGAGGAAATTTCTATGACATAGCATTAAAAGTTCTTATCACGTAACGTCAAGTGTGTGGGCAGTTCTTTTGACATAGCATCAAGTGAAGGAAAGTTCTCATGACGTAGCATCAAGAAGTGCTTATGGTAGGAGTGCAGTTCTGATGAAGTAGCATCAAGTGAAGGGAAGTTCCTATGACGCACAATCAAGAAGTGCTCATGACGTAGCATCAAGTAGGTGCGCAGACCGTATGACCTAGCATCAAGTGAAGGGAAGTTCCTATGACGTAGCATCATGACGTAGCATCAAGTAGGTGTGCAAGTGGCAGGGCGTTGACAAAGAAGCTTTTACACAGAGAAGCTCTTACACAGAGAGGCTTTTACACAGAGAGGCTTTTAAACAGAGAAGCTTTTACACAGAGAGGCTTTGACACAGAGAAGCTTTCACACAAAGAAACTTTAACACAGAGAAACTTTTACGCAGAGAAGCTTTTAAACAGAGAAGCTTTTACACAGAGAGGCTTTGACACAGAGAAACTTTCACACAGAGAAGCTTTAACACAGAGAAGCTTTAACACAGAGAAGCTTTACACAGAGAAATTTTGAACAGAGAAACTTTTACAAAGAGAAACTTTAACACAGAGAAACTCCCTCTCCCTCTCTCTCTCTCTCTCTGTCTCTGTCTCTGTCTCTGTCTCTCTCTCTCTCTGTCTCTCTGTCTGTCTGTCTGTCTGTCTGCCTGCCTGCCTGCCTGCCTGCCTGCCTGTCTGTCTGCCTGCCTGCCTGACTGTCTGTCTGTCTGTCTGTCTGTCTCTCTCTCTCTGTCTATCTCTCTCTCTCTCTGTCTCTCTCTCTCTCTGTCTCTCTGTCTCTCTGTCTCTCTGTCTCTCTGTCTCTCTGTCTCTCTGTCTCTCTTTCTCTCTGTCTCTCTGTCTCTCTGTCTCTCTGTCTCTCTGTCTCTCTGTCTCTCTGTCTCTCTGTCTCTCTGTCTCTCTGTCTCTCTGTCTCTCTGTCTCTCTGTCTCTCTCTCTCTCTCCCTCCCCTCTCTCATGCACAATCTTACAGACGTTTTACATAATTCATATTTTTGCTCTCGGGACATCCCTCAGGTAGAGGCACCAGGCAACAGATAGGAGTGAATGATCTGAGATCTGGTTAATGCGCCTTTAAAACTTGCAATAGCTTTTAGATGTTAAATCGGGATATGCCCTCTGTTCTTCATCTATTGTTTCTCTCTCTCTCTATATACATGTATATGTATGCAGAGACTTCTCACCACCTCGCAACATGTAGTTTAGATGGTGCCTGTGACGAAACATTTAGAATTTGTTTAGATTTTGTTCTATTCTTGAACTGCAGTTTAAACCAGGTGCAATGAAATTCAACCGTAATACTCTGTGCCAGGAAAATGTACCAGAGAGGCAGGGGGGAAATTGGTCCAGGATGAATATGCTTTTGAAGAGTGGCTGGCACTGTGAATTTCTTCTGGTTACTGACAGAACACACAGTTTCTGGAATTGGCATGCATGGAAGAGAATCAGGTTCGGGGATGCATGTAGAAAAGCAAGCAGACAGATGGACAGACAGACAGACAAATAGGCAGAGAGACAGATCAACGGAATGACCTACCTGCAAATAGGGGGACGCGCAGTCTGCTGCAAATAGATGGACATACATGTGCGCTGGTTTGGCTGCAGGCCTTCCTATTAATATGGCATAGGGTGACAGGAAAGCCAGGCATTTCATTTCCCGAACTGTGCGGTCAAACTAAAGGTTTCCTGCTGCAAAAGCTGTGTGCCTCAAGAGCAATTTTTGAGAATGGTGCAGGTTCTTGCAAAGAAATCATTGAGATCGGTGTCAGTGATGGGTTGCTTCACATATTTCTTGTTTGCCTTTGGGGCGGTAGACTCCAACAACTTAAACCTGCTTCAGCCTGCATGAAGAGGAGTGTCTTTGAAACACCTTCTTGGGACACATAGTCAAACCATTTGTCGAGAGTACAGAGGGCAGAAAAACGGGCAGTAGCGGTGCTGCATACCTTGAAACAATGATGTTTGCACAGCCTTTGCACTCAGGAACAAAATCTGATAGAGACTTGTTCCGGCTGTTGCTTGCAGGCTCTATGCCGTCTTTGTGATCCTCCTGGCTCTTGGGGTTTTCTCATCATTCATCAGCTCTATCACCAGTGCTGTTAATACACTTCGTGCTGTTCGCATGGAGCAAATGGTGCAGGACACGCCTGGAGCAAATCTGACTGTGCAGCGTCGAGTGTGGCAAAAAAAGAATCCAAAGAGGATGTTGTTTCGAGCCTGCTGACCAGACCTGTGTTTCCTGCAGGAGTCAAAGATTCGTCAGTTCTTCAACGAACGTCAACTGTCAGCCGAGCTGTTCAACAAAATCCAGGACAGCAATGCTGCCATGTTGTCTCTTTGCTTTGAGACAATTCTGTATTCGCTTATGTGCAGCTGGTGGCCGGCCCCTTGCCGTGCGCAGAGTCGGTCAGCCTTGCTCACGCTGTTTGCCCAGTGCGGGTGCCCTGTCCCTCTGTCATGCCTTTTGCAGGTACAGTGTGCACCGGTTGTTGTGGCGGGTGAAGCTGTATGTGTGGGGCTGCTTGTTACCATCATGCAGCATGGCTTTTTGAAGGCATGCAATAGCCTGGCCGATTCCATATGAGTTTGCTACCATTTTCTGCTTGGAGGAGGTTTGCCGAAAGAGGCGGCTCTTTGAGATTCGGCTTCAGGAGAATGAGGCTTCTGCGGATGACAAGGGTCTAGGTCAGCCAGTAGTTTACACCAACTTGCTAATTCAAAAATGGGCGAAGCCAAGGCGCTACTCGTTGCTCACCAACGATGGCAGATGTCTTGACATGTCTTGACAATCGATGATTGGCCTCTTTCCATTTCTCTTGCAAGGTGCGTTTTTTGGCAGAGATTCCGGATTCCGTCAAGGCTCGTTTGCACGAGGACCTTGCCTGGGCTGCCTGAGCGTTGATTTTGTGTCGCGTGTTGCAAAAGGGCTGTCGTGGTGATTGTAGTGCCATGTAGTGCCCCGTTGAGAAGTATGCTATCTGCGTAAATTTTTATATCGTTTCAGCGTAGTGTGGACGAGTCATTCATATCCACAGCAACAACTTGGGTATGCGGACTGGGTAGCCAAGGCACTGAGTATATACATGGATGATCATGGGTGTGTTTTGCACATCATCCACTTGACATGATATTCTTTTTGCTTAAAAGTTCCGTATGCCTGGATTTTCCCGTTCAATAGTATAATGGGACTGCGCTGGAGCACTGCTCCTGGTGATGGTACTGCCATGGCAATGCTGCTGCTAGTGCTGTTGCTATTGCCGCTGCTGGTGGTGGCGCTGCTGCTGCGCTGCTCCTGCCGCCGCCGCCACCGCCGCTTTTTTTTTAAAAACGTTTTTGCGATACATGGACCAAAAAAAGCGTTTGATCTTGACAGTGCCTAGCGCTTCCGAACTGGAAGTCTTATTTGTTGTCTTGACTTGCAGGAGATCTTCTTGCCATGGCTCTTGACAGCAGATTTTTTGCCAGCTTGGTGTGCCTTGGGTTGCAAGCCAATATTCTCAAGAAACAATGCAAAACATGTTCGACGTTTTAATGCACAACAGTCTTGTGAGTCAAGAAAAGAGTCGAACATAGGACGAACAGGTATATATCATAGTACAATCGTGTAGAATCTATTTTTTAAGTGCCATATTCTTGATGTAAATAAACAATTAAGTAAAGCAAATAAACAAATAAATAGATAAATAAATAAATATATATATCTATATATATAAAATAATATATATATATACATATACATGAGCGGGGATCACCACACCGAGGCCTGGGGGGGTTGCCAGCAACAACAGTCCTACATGCGCAGTGTTTGTGCAGCTGCAGGTGGTTGCTTCTGGTTTATAGGAAGTATATTCGTATAGAGTAAATGAGCAGCCTTTGAAATGAGTCGTATGTATTGTGCAGGTCATATATGTAAGGTGTAAGGAGTATATAGGCAGTGATGAAGCAGTGTGTCAGTGTGTATATTACACAAAAGTGTATATTATTTAGGTAGTATATATATAGATATATATATATATGTAAATGTAAACGCATGTATTTTCATTGTATATATATATATACATATATTTCAATATAAATACATTATATATATATGTTTCTCTATATATATATACACATGGATATAGGGGATAACCGTATGATGGCATATGCAAAACCTATGCGATATGCCATTATAGTGGCAGAAAAAAATACAATGTATAAATTTCAGGGTGCGCCAATTTGACCAACAGAATGATGGCACACTGGGGGGGTACCCGGTCACAGAAACATGGCATCCATTTGCCAGGTGTTTTGTGGTTCACCAGGTACCAGTATATGTATGAGACATGTGTACGTAGTATATGTAGGGTGTAAGAAGTATACGTACATATATATATGTATATGTATATGTATATGTATATATATGTATATGTATATGTATATGTATATGTATGTATATGTATATGCATATGTAAATGTAAATAATACTGTATATAAGTATTTAAGTATATATTTATATGTATATACATATATACATTTATACATATCTATGTGTATATATATATTTCAATATATATATATATGTATGTGTATATGCGTATAGGTGTATATATGTATATATGGCTATATGTATATATGTAAAAGTGTAAATATGTATGTATATGTGTATACATGTATATGTGTATATGCGTATATGTGTATATATGTATATATGGCTATATGTATATATGTAAAAGTGTAAATATGTATATGTGTATTTATGTAAATGTGTATTTATGCATATATATATATATCTATATGGGTGTGTGTATATACATATGTATATATGTAGTTATGTGTACGTTTAATTTTTTAAAAATGGGTTTACATCTCTGTGTAAATAAATATGTACATGTATTTATACATATATATGTATATGTATTTATACATATATATTTATATATATATATATATGTATGTATGTAAATATATATATATACATATATGTATATATGTATGTATGTACGTACGTACGTACGTACGTATGTATGTATGTATGTAAAGTCCTGATGGGCTACAGAGAATACAGAACCGATCATTTCGGCCCCAAAAAGCATCTTTGGGAATCGAAAAAAACGTTGGGTAGAATACAGGCACCTTCCGGAATTGAAACACGTTACTTAAAACACAAGTTGAAAAACCTGTAGAATATGAATCTTCGATTCTGGAAGATGCTTATTTTTGCCAAATTTTTGTTTCATTTATTCAGTGCCCGGGAACCATCAATAATAGCTTTGGAGGGGTGACAGCTGCCTTTATTTTTCACTGCTTGCAATTTGGCAACTCGTGGGGGGGACCCTTTCGTGAACTTCAAACTGCCTTCTTTTAATGTAAAATGTATTCAACAACTGGTTAATTTGGGCAACCCATTTCTTTCCTCAATCCTGATCCCAAAGTTGTTGACGTATTGTTCCCATATCTTTGTGTGCGGTTCTTGTTTTTTATTGTGCCCTCCCGTCCGCCTTCCGTCCGTCCGCCTCCTGCCTCCGCCGTCCTCTTTTTGTCACACAACTTTTTCGCACGCAACTCTTCAACACAACAACTTTTGCGCACACAGCTCCGTCACACACAACTCTTCAACACACAACTCTTGCAAAAACAACTTTGTCACGCACACAACTCTTTCACACACACGCACAACTTTGTCACACACACAACTCCTTCACACACACACACGCAACTTTGTCCCACACACACACAAAACTTTGTCACACACACACACATAACTTTGTCCCACACACACACACACAACTCTTCATCACAAAACTCTTTCACAGGCAACTTTGTCACACAACTCTTTCACAAACCTCTCTTGCACACGCAACTTTGTCACACACAAGCCTTCAACATACAACTCTTTCACACACACACACAACTTTGTCACATACAACTCTCTCATAAACAACTTAGTCACACAACTCTTTCACACACTTCTCTTTCACACAACTTTATCACATGCTTTTGTGTGGCATGCGTGGCACTTACGGCGCTGGGCTGGCTCTGGTGGCGCGCTTGGTCACCCTTAGTCGCCCACTCCACCGTGGCGCACTTTGCGTGGCAAGCATGGCACTTGGTGACATCGACGTGCCACACAAATGGCAGGCGTGGCACTTGGTGACATCGACGTACCTGTTGTGTGGCAAGCGTGGCACCTACGGGTGGCGCGCTTGGTTGCCTTGGGGACGAGGCACTTCGCGCGGCAAACGTGGCACTTGGTGATGACGACGTGCCTTTTGTGTGGCAGGTGTAGCACTTGGTGACATCGACCTACCTTTTGTGTGGCAGGCATGGCACTTACGGCACTGGGCTCGCTCTGGTGGCGTTAGTTGCCCGGCACTTCCCGTCGCAGGAATGGCACCACTTGGTGACATTTACGTACCTGGTGCTTGGTCGCCCGGGGCGCCGCGGCACTTTACACAGGTGTGGCACTTGGTGACATCGACGTACCTTTTCTTTGGCACGCATGGCACCTATGGGGAGTGACATCGACGTACCTTTTGTGGCAGGCGTGGTACCTGCGGCACTGGGCTGGCTCTGGTGGCGCGCTTCATCGCGTGGCAGGCATGGTGCTTGGTGACGTCGACATACCTTTTGCGTGGCAGGCGTGGCACTTACGGCACTGGGCTGGTCCTGGTGGGGGGCTTGATCTCGGTAGCCGCCTGGGTGCCGCGGCATTTTGGGTGGCAGGCGGCGCATGGTGACATCGTCACATTGGACGCATTGACTGAACGAGCCGAGATGCAACCATAGGCCACGTGCCTCAGTTTGCTGCCATGTTTTGTGCGCATGCTGCCCGTGGCCTTGTGTCGGTAGAAAGACATAGAAAAATCATTTTACATTCGGGAGGACAAGCACCAGTGAAAGACAGGATGTCTTGGTTTGCTGCCGGTAGCAACAGAGATTGTCATGTGCCGCAAACACACAAGCTTTCAGTCCAAACCTATGCTTGCTAGCCTGTCAATATGGAACCTTGTGATGCAAAAATGCTGGAGTGGTGCGCCGGCGTGGCATACAAGGTGCGCAGCGCCGCTGACGAACACAAGATCGCATGACGACGACCAGAAAAATCACACAATTTTGAGATGAACAAGAACATGTCGACATTCAAATTCTGAACTTCCACATCTTCCTGTTCATTTAAACGACTGTCACACAGGCACTTTGCGAGGATGACGAGGATCGAAGTTGTACCTTACTTGAGGGTACACCCTGTGGCTTCAAGAGGCACCTTCGCTGATCATGTTAGATTTACTTGACTTTGGCATGGATATTGGGCACACAGTTTGCATTGTGGATGTCAAAAATCTGCTATTGGAACCCAGCAGCATCTTCTTGACATCAGTTAGTGGGAGCACGTGTTTACGCCTCCAGGGAGCCTGCCGATTTTGTGTGGCCTGTATGATTTCTGCTTCGCCACTTGTCTTATTTCTGTCATATGCTCAATGATCCTGCGGCAGAAATGCGAAAGTGTCGAATGAAGTGGGTGCAGGCTTCTCTGTCAAGTTGCTGGTGGGCCCGCAAAGGTGGACATCTTGTCCCAAGGTTGACACAACGTTTGAAGATCTTCGGTTCTTTTTTTGCAGAGTAACATTCTGTTTGCATGAAGCGGCCGGTCGAAAAGGACAGCTGCCGAAGAGTTGCCGGCTGATTGACACGCAGACATCCAGCATCAGGGACTGAACTGAGGTTTCTTTCCAGCTGTCGTGCCATTGGCTCCGATCTTCGAGAGGCCTTGACCTGTCAGAAGGAATTGCTTTGAAATGAAGTAGACGTAGATTGACACAACGTGTGAAGATATACGCGCGCTGCTTTGCATCGATTTCTCGCAAAGTGGCCGTGTGTGGACGAAAAGATGACGCAAGTGCATATCAGCAATTAATTCTGCGTTTCCGTCAATGAATGTCATTGCATCCATTGTGGCTTTGCCGTCAGGTACCTCTCCGAACTTCGCTGTGGTTGTCGCAAGGCCCCAAACGGGTCCAGTGACGAGGTTGTGGCTTTCAAATGCTGCACATCGGGAGGCTGCCTCCAAATGCTGTAGGTAGCGTACAGCTGGGAGGCGGTGCAAATGCGAGGTTTGGGGGTGGGGGGGGCCATACCATCGGGGGGTGGGGGTCCGGGGGCCAGGCTCATATATATATATATATATATGTATATATATATATACATATATAGATAGATAGATAGATAGAAAGATAGATGCGCGTACACGTTCATCCAGTTTTTGACTCCTTTTGCACACAACAGCAAACCGCAACGTTTTTCCTCAGGAAATGCTGTCGTCAGCTAAGGCCTCAACACTGATCATCGCTTTCTCCGAAAGGCTCAACTTCTTTGGTTTGTTGTACTGAAAGAAGGAAGTGTTTTTCTGCGGATTATCTTGGAGTGCTTGTGTTTTCTTTCTAGGCGTAGCTCCCATTTTTGATTTTTATTGCTGAACTTCACGCCTCGATAAGTCCAGCGCGTGGGCTTTTTCAGACGGAGGTGGATAGAACCTCCACATCTGATATATCCAAACAATATCCACATACATCCAGCGCGCTCTGTAGCTGGTGCAGGGGCAGATTCGGACAATGCCACCTTTCTGTAAATGTGAGTGCAATCAGAAGTCGATGCGATGGATGGGGAGGGAAAACTATGTGCTCCCTACATGTGCACTGCGCTGTGCGTGGCGTTGACATGCAAGAATTGCCAGGTTTGCCATTTGGCCATGAGAGAATGCTATGCGGTGTCCACCCAGGCGTGGGCCTAATTGAATGGGTCAACACGAGAGTCTTCATCTGTAGTGTAGCCGAAGGAAGTTTAGAAGTCAAACTTCCGACAACATGGACAGATGAAACAGCAGAGGTGGGAAGAGTCAGAGAAGAGAAGAGAAGAGAGAAGATCAGAGAAGAAAAAGAGTCAGAAGGAAGAAGATGTAGGTGTGCGAAAAGGTAGGAAAGTCGCGAAACACTGTGTTTTTCCAATGATTTGTGGCTCCGGAGGGTCGAAAAGTAGGCTCGCTAAAGCGGCGGGTGCGGAGCCAGCTGGGGAGATGAGAGATGAAAAATTGCACGTTGTTGTGGCGCGAAGCACATTTCCAAGTCAAAATGTACAAAGCAGCTCATGCTCGGACCACTTTTGGAAGTTGAGATGTCGAAAAAGTGCACGCAATTGTGGTGCGAAGCACATGTCGAAATAGAAACATACAAAACACACCATTTTCGGATCACTTTTGGAAGTCAGTACAAGAGACATGTTCATCAGAGATGTTAGGAGGTCAGGGCGCTGATTTGTTGAGAGGGGTTGCATTTTGGAGCATCAGATTTTCAGGTTTGCTCAGATGATTTTGCGTGACAGGTGCAACCTGGCATCAATTTTTTCGTGGCAGGCGCAGCGCTTTACACACATGAAGAAAAAAAATCGCAAAACGCATTGGTACGAGGCCGTCAGCTCTGCGCTCAACTCCATTTTTGAAGGACGTCTCGCAGAATTGCTTCGCTTTTGATGTTGTCAACTTCGAAAATTGAGGAAGTCTCGCAGAATAGCTTCGTTTTTGACGTTGTCAAGTTCAAAAATTGAGGATGTCTCCCAGAATTGCTGCGTTTTTGATGTTGTCAAGTTCAAAAACTGAGGATGTCTCGCAGAATAGCTTCGTTTTCAAGCTTGCAGCTAGACAGATAGATAGATAGACAGCTGCAACTACAACTACAACGACAGCTGCAACTGCAACAACTACTACAACTACAAACCCACATGCAAATATATTACGCTACATTACGCTACAGGAATTGCATCACACTACACCAATTACATTTTATTACACCGCGCTACATTAATTGCACTACAACCACAAAAACTACTACTACCACAGCTACAACTACAGTTACAACTACACTACATTACACTGCGCAAATACACTGCAGTACACTACAGCTACAGCTACACTACATTACACAACCCTACGCTACACTAATTAAATTACATTACATTACGCTACAACTACAGCTACAACTGCAACTACAAACTACGACTACCACTGCATAACACTACACTACACTACACGACACGACACGACACTGCACTAATTACACCACACTACACTACAACTACAACTACAGCCTCACTACTTTACACTACTTCACACTACTTTACACTACCTTACAATACACGACTCGACACGACACCACACTATACCGCGCTACAGTCCACAACACTACACTACACGAATTACACCACGCCACAGCTACAACCACTACATTACACTACACTAATTACACTGCAGCACGCTACAACTACAAATAAAACTGCAAGTACACTACATTACACAACACTACGCTACACTAATTACATTACATTACGTTACACTACAACTACAACTGCAACTGCAACTACAACTACAAGCACCACTACATTACACTACACTAAACTTCCCTAGTTACACTGCACTGCACTACAACTACAACTACACTACTTTACACTGCACTGCACTACACTAGGCTACACTACACCATATCACACTACAGTACACAACACTACAGTACCCTACGCTACACTACAACAGCAACTGCAACTGCAGCACGTTCTTACACCACACCACCACTACAACTCCATTACGTTACACTACACTAATTACACTGCAGTACACTGCGGGTACAAAAATAACTACAACTACGGTACATTACACAACACTTCACTACACTAATTACATTACATTACGCTACGACTACAACTGCAACTGCAGCTAGAACTGCAGCTACAACTACCACTGCATTACCCTACACTACGCTACACTAATCTACACTTCACTAGTTACACTACACTACACTACAACTACAGCTACAACTACAACTACAACTACAACGGCACTACTTTACAATACTTTACAGTATGTTACACTACTTTACAGTACGTTGCAGTACGTGACAGTACGTTACAGTACTTTAGAGTACTTTACGGTACTTTACAGTACTTTACACTACTTTACAGTACTTTACACTACTTGACAGTATTTTACACTACACTACACTTCACTACACTAGGCTACACTACACTATACCACTCTACAGTACGCAACACTACATTCCCCTACGCTACACTATACTAATTACACCACGCCGCAGCTGCAACTGCAACTGCAACAGCACGACACTAATTATTACATTCAACTACAACTACAACTCCATTGCACTACACTACACTACAACTACAACTGCGCTACACCACACTACATCCAGCAGTTGTGGTGAGGTGACCACTGCAACCAGTGCAACCACTCCAAAAAACACAACTCCCAACCACTCCAAAAAACACACCTCCATCCAACCACCTTTGGGTCCATCAGTGGATTCGCTCTGCCATCCGTGAGTCACAGGAACCAACCTATCCTATAGGTTTCCTAGTTTTGAAACTTCCGCCACCGCCTTGTGCGGCACTATCGGCACGTAACCCGCAGAATCATTAATATGGTAATTCAACGCAATGGCAATGGTAATGATTATGTGGAGGAACAGTAGAGGGAATCAGGTAGAGGGAATTGATGGCAAAGATGATGTGAAGGCAGTAGACTGAATGTATTCCACATGATGCTGATCCAGTGTTGTGGTTTCGCACGGTTGTTTTGCTGCACAGATGTCTTGCCGGGGACCTGTGTACATGTTGATTTTTTATGATTTGTTCCCCAGATAGCGAGGCTATTGGGTCTCTTACTTCAAGTATAGGATGAGTTGGATATGTGCGTTTTGGAGCGGGCATGTTGGTTCCGCTGCAGGGTGCCGCCGCAGGGTGCTGCTCAGGTTAGAATGGTGTGTGCGCTCTGGAGCTGGCCTGCTGGCGCCGCTGCAGGGTGCTGCTTCAAGTTGCTGTTTGAGTGCTGTGTGAGTGGAGGTGGCCTGCTGGTGCCGCTGCAAAGTGCCGCTGCAGGGTGCGGGTGCCGGTGCCGGGCACAACGGACTGCCCAACCTTTTGTTTGTCGACCGCATCAAGGTCTCGAAGGCGAACAAGTTGTACTTTTTGACATCCAGAATTGCCCAATGGGCCACAGAACATGGGTGTTTATTTTGTATTGAAAATCCACAATTCAGCTACTTTTGGCAGACAACCTTCAGTCAATCTGTCATTCACTTGATGAACTTTACAACTTCTCAATCATGTATGATGTATGGAAGCACTAATTACTGTCAAGGGGCTGTCTGCATCTTAGGAACTTGGGTGCTGTTACAGGGCACTGCTGTCACAGTGCGGTGGGCGCTATGAAACTTGGGTGCTGGTGTCGCTGCGGGCGGCTGCAAGATGTCTATGACAATAGTTGGGCTGTTGGGTTTTAATGAAAATTACGTTTATGCCGTAGTAAAAAAGGCGAGCGCTTGGTTGCAACCAAAAATATCTTTTGTTTTTTTGGGTCTATGCAGGCGCAATTGTAATGTTTTTGAACGTTTGACTGTCGAGTGGCTGTTTGTGGAGGCTTTTGACAAAATGCATGAGGGTGTTGGATCATTTCCCTTCCTGTCATTTGCAGGATGTTTTCAACAATGGACTTGAGAGCACTTACGTGATCATTGTCCAGCATGGTAGCATGGGTTACTATGTTCTGGCCTCAGTCGATTTGATGCTTTCACGTGGAACAAGGAACTGCTTGAATTGATTCTTCTTTTAACTGGCTCAACATGAACATTTCAGAGCGTTGTCCGTTGATTTTTTCTGCAGGTAAAGGCACAGGCAGGGGCTGACTGCTTCAGGGCAAGCAAGCAAGCAAGGGTTGATTTATGAGTAATAATGGTCAGCAATCTACAAACATCATCCGAACATCTCAACAACATTGCCGATTCTTTAGAGAAAAATCGTTGGCCGGCTGGAGGACTCCACTGAATTCGACGTCAAGGACACAGCAACCCTTCAGCTGACTCTGCGCGTGCTGCGATAACTGTGGCCAGTACATTTGCAGCTGTACCTAGATTTTGACAAGATTCAAGAATTTCAAGTATCATGGCCGAACAATTTGAAGACTTACTGTGAAGAGGTACAGTTATGTTTCTTCCACTCTGTTTTGCAAGGAGCGATGGACTGTTAAAGAAGGCACCTTTCTGTGTGTTCCCACACTCTTCGCATCCTGGTATTACCGTGGTAAGCTGACGCTTGACACAAAGGGAAGCACCTGTGCAGTACCATGCAACGCTACAAGTGCATTGTGCGTATCATGTATCTTCTGAAGCGAATAAGATCATTTGTGCGCTGAAGGGTTTTGCTGCTCTGGCTGCTGGAAGAGAATTCACACTTTTTGCACAACAGGGACAGTAATACACCAAGAATCATTCTGGGTTGGTTTTCGGTTTGGCATTGAATATCTTCGCACCTGCTGCTGTTAGTCGAAAGTTGCAAAGTTTGCAGGGCACCAGAAATGCATGCGAGGTTTGAACTGGTGCATCTAAGGAATGCAGACCGGGGTTCTTGCTACTACGCACCTTCTCCACATTGGAAACATGCACTATGTGTGTAGACAAAAGAATCATTATGTCCCACATGTTTTCGAACTATATGAAGAATTGTAGATAGCAGCATTCAACAAAGTCGTACGACCACTTGGCCCCGAGAGCTTTTCAAAAGCTACCATTTTGTGTCATGCTGCTCCTAGGTTTCTATCGAGAGTAGCAGTTTCTGCGGACTGGCACAACAACACGCTGGAGCTTTGTATCAGCCACCTGCCCGAATGCTCACCGGAGTTCCGGACATCTCTTCCAAGCAGACACCTCTTGTAGCAGAGGCCAGAGAGCAATGACCATAGAGGGCACCAAGAATGCAGGAATTCTGACCACATGAGTGACTGGCTGCTTTGTTGGGGGCAATCTGTTGCTTCCCTGCATACAGTATGGTATTGAATTTTACGGGACTCGGTCGTTCCTTTCTAAAATGTAGTGGATGTACTTCTGAAAAATCCAATACTGTAATTCAAATTTTTGGTCCTGCTTGGACCATTTGTTCTCCACATGATTTTGGATCCAGCTGAGGTACATGCGGATCTATGGCATGCTGCGCCTTGGTTGTTTGCATTCTGTCGATTTGATTTGCGTGAACGAAACGCTTATAATGCATCTGTAGGCCCTTCATTGGTTTATTGGTTTGCAAAGCAAACTTTGCACAGCAAACCTTGCATAAGAAACATTGGTGGGAGAGTGGCCTTTAGGTTGATCAACGTCATCGAGGAGCTGCTGCCAAATCCATTGCTATTGGTTTAGGAATATTGGTTCCCGCTTCAGTGAAAGTGCCATTGATTTCGGTGTGCCATGTTTTTTTACATTTTCAGATATTTTTGATCTTGATAACCTGCCTGTAGCTGTCAGCCTCTCGAAGTGGTTGCTTCCAGGCGCGAGATTTGGATCGTCAAGAGGTTTCAGACCTGGATCTGCCCAGATGGGTACTAGCTCCCTGTCTCAAACTTTGGAGCGTGGGACAACTGTTCAGATAGAGAGATGGATGGATGGGATGGATAGATAGATAGATAGATATATGTATAATATACACATATAGTATATACACATATAGTATATGTATATATATATATATATGAATGACTGTCTAGTGTTTGGCAGGTCTGGGCGGACAGTGGTCATTTCTTGGTGGTTGGTTAAATAAGGTGAAACAAATGCCAATTTTGGCTCAAGTACATTGACCCAAAATAGCAGCATTATTTTCCTGGTGTGAGGGAAGTAGCTGATGTAAGTGGAGTCGACCACTTGATGTCCAGCCACTCCCGGGGGTACATGTTGCCATGCACATGCAGAGATACTGCATACCGCGGCATGGATGGACTTCTCCAACTAAGTGCGGTCGCTGCTGCAGCTGGGCCGAGTCGCCGAGGCACGCTGCCTGTGGGAATCCGTTGTGGAAGTCATCCATAATGGGACCAACCCCAACCTGCAAGTTTTAGGGATTCCGGAGTTACCGGGGGTCCTGCGAGCACCTTGCATGGAGTCACCATATGTACGGTGTGACACACGTCGTGGGGGCTTTCGTTTTCCCTTTGTGGGGATTTGGGCCAAGACGTCTGTGTTGGCCCAAACGCGTGAAGGACCTCAGGCAGTGTGGGATCGCTACCATGGCTGTGAGGAGATTTTTGAACTGCTCGCAGCGCAGAGCTTCTCCTCGATAGTTACCCGAGCGCAACTTGTTCCCCCACATGTGTGCTGCATGGTGGAAAGGTTGGTCCTGTGTCGTGACGGAATCACGATCGATGCAGGAGTTCTTTGAGCTATGGAGGGCCTGGCTCTGGCGAGAACCTTGGATGGTTTACCATGCTGTCATCAGAGCCAACAGCGACAAATTGCGGGCCCCTCCGGTGCATCCTGGGTGCCGTGGCGGTTGAGGAGCACTGGATTCCGGGACCTTGCAGATGGTGTTGGACGCCATCCTTCACAATGAATGTGCCCAACCTGTGGTGGCGACGTCTGCGAGGGATGCCGATGCGGAGTGGAGTTCTGCCCTGCCCCTTTTGTGATGAGTCCGGGTCGTCCGGGGGCGTCTGTCCATGGGGATGTCCAGGGTTATGAGGCACGGGAGGGTGCCGGGCCAACTTCATCTTCCTCTACACCCTCACCCCTGGCTCAATGAGGCCTTGTGATTGCTGCTGGTGCCATGGCGAGTGGCAAAGGGCACTATGCCTGGACGCAGCGGGCGAAGCAGCGATCTGAGACTTGGAGAAGGCAGGTCGCGTCCATGGAACGTGCTTTCCAAGTTTTGAAGTGCGGCAATACTTCGGTTTGGCCAACGACGGCTATGCCTTCGAGAACTATGCGGATGCGATGTCAGCCGGTGGACATGCGCTGGCGGCGCAGTATAGGTTGCAGCCCGCTCGAAGGCAGAAGAGGGACTTCTAAACCAAGGAAGACAGTGGCCTCGGTTCTGCAATCGACGAGTGTGAGCTGCGAGATTCCAGGACAGCAATTTGGCGGCGTTACCGCTTGAAGTTTCCTACGGAAGTGCGTCCGGCAGACACAACCGTCTCAAGGGTGAGTCGGGAGCTGTCTAAGCGCATGTTGTGTGTCTTCACCTGTGGAAGGTCAAGACACTGCAGTTCAATTGACAACCAACCAGAAGAAGCGTAAGCTCATGGGGGAGAACCTTTAAGCACTGAAGAGGTAGATGAAGACGAACCATGCCAGCACAATGTGGAGTCCTACCTGGATCGCCTCTACACCCTGCTCCTTGCCTATGCCATCGCCGGAGTAGCTCCTCCTGCTAGGACAACACCTGATTCTACCAAGGAGGCCACCTTGAAGGCCGATTCCACGGAGTATTCAGCTGTGCCTTTGGACGTTTGCATGAGCTAGTGGTTTCTGGCACAGCGGACATGCTATCAAATTCATGCATCCAAGCGGACGGCCTGGCTACAGGCCCAGGACCAGGAAGAGCGTGCAGAATGGACATCGAGATTCGGGAGAACACGCAGACTCTGGGAGTCATCATGATCAAGGAGGTTTTCCAGGCGAGGGACACCAATTGGATTCCGCCGGTGGGCTCACTATACTGGGTTGGAGCATGCACCACCTATATGCCGAGCAGGACAGCCCCTACACCGACTTCGCCCAGCAAGGCGGTCAATGGCAAGAGGGTCGCCAAGGTCATGCGAAACGGCACGATTCCATGCCAGAAATTCTAAAAAGGCGATTGCAAGCAGAAAGGCGGCTCATAAGTGCGGAGGGGTTACCAAGGGCGAGCGGGTCTGTGGGTCACCTGGGCATAGTGCCCATGTGTGCCGTGCCACGATCAAGGAGTGATGGGGCCTCTTCCTCTTCAGGGCTCGAATTCCCACCAAAGCCGCCACCCCCGCCCTTGGCAGCTGACATCATGAGTGGCCCGGGAGCTCCTGTCAGCAAGGCGTTGCTGTGGTGTGGTTGGAAAGTGATTTTAATCGACATGCTCTTGGACCCGACGCACGACTTGAGCAACAACGCCAGGCAGCAGTCCTTCATGACAAGTTGCAAGGCGTCGACTGCATTATGGCAGCGCTGGATTGCTCCACCAAGTCACGTTCTCGAGAGATCCGTGTTCACTTTGATGATGGCAGATCGGGACCTAAACCACTGCGCTCTGAACACTATCCAGCGGGACTACCCAATTTGCACCCAGAAGATGCAGCCCAGGTGCAAGGGGATAACCAGGCAGCGGACTTTGTCTTGGACGAGATCCACGCCCTGGTGCAGCGAGGCGGTGCCACTGTGCGTGAGAACGCAGGTCGCAGCCTTCATTAGGAGTTACCCAAGGAAAAGGAAGGAGCCATGATGGCATTTGGCCAGTACTATGAAACGGAATACTCCGCTTGTGTTTTTCAGTCGGCACGCTGCAAGTACCAGAAGCTCCGCCACAATGTCCTGGAGATCACTCAGTGGCCCAAGGTGATGTGCGCCCACACCCACGCGGCCAATGAAGGGGAACCACGGATGGAACATGGACAACGGAAACAATCCAGAGACGAGGCCGAGTATTCCGCTTCTCTGGCCTTTGCCCAGCAGACTTTCATGGTGGCTGTCAGGGAAGGCAGTCCTGAAAGTCCCAGCCATTGGTTGGAGTTGCATCCGCAATCCATGCGGAGCTGGGCCTTGGCGCCGTTGGCCATCCTGTTGGGTCTGGAGCCACCACACCCGCAGGAAAGGGCGGATACGTGCCTGCAGGATGGCCGTCTTTCAGCCGGAGTGATTTATGTGGGGCAAGGACACCATTCTCATCGTCTGCCTACCACTTGTTGGAGGTCACCCTTTGTGGCTGGTTATGACTGCGCACCTGACGAAGTGATGCCAGTCTACATCGACCACATCAAGCGCAAATTTAGAAAGAGCTGCGCTCATTGATGGGAAAGGTGCTGGTGTGCGACTGTGATGCTGACGAGTTCTGCGAGGCCGACGTGTTGGCAGGAATGGTGTTCGAGCTTACCTTAAGCTTAAGGATCCACTAACAAAAAAAAATAGATATACGTGCCCTGATGCGGCCACCCCGCACCCACGGGCTGCCGGGATGCCACCTCGACGGATAGTTCGTGGGCCCAAGCGGTGGCGACCCGCCCTTGGCGCTTTGCGGGCGGGACGCAGGAGTCCGTGGTGGCCACCTTTTATAAACTGTTCCCGGCCGACTGGTTTTCAGGTTTTCATTTTCCCATGATCGAGGATTTGATCAACCAGGCACCATTCATCAGTTGCCTGCAAGGGCTTGGATTGGAATGGTCCATTGAACCCGTCGTGCGGGGCTGGAGTGACCAGACCTCGTCAACGGCAACAAGCAGGGAGCTTGCGATTTTGGACACAGACCTCCAGTGTGCGGCATACATGCATGCGCGGGCTCAGTGTTCTCTGGTTTCATGGCGGGCACGAGCTCCAAAGGCATGTTATGTGAACTGAAGCGCCGCTGGGTGTCCGTGACTGAGCAGTTCCGGAAGAGGCAAGCTGAGGCGATCGCCGGAGTGACTTCCAAGAGGGACTTGGGGTTAACGGCCTTGCTGGTGGTGCTGACGCAGTGGGGTGATACCTGCTATCCTTACGCCGTTGGCGCGGCACCCTGCTACAGCATCTTTCCAGCCCAGCCGGGACATCTCATCACGATCGACGAGGTGCCCACAATGGTGCTATGATAGCCAAACTTCGCCCAGGGATGCACGACGAGTTCTTGCTATCACAGAGCTTGGTCGTCGCAGACAAAGGCTTCGGCACCCACCCCATGACTTGGACCGAATTGCTGCGAGCCACCAAGGGCCGACCTTTTCGTTTGATTCCAAGATGCGTTATTGTGCAGCCTATAGTGGCAAGAAGAGGATTATCGATGACGCTGCTGCTGGGGGCCAATCAGAACTATCATCCGACTGAGTGCAATAAACATGGTCCTTTGTAGTGCTCTACGACCTGCTCAGCATTTTGCGGCTATCGCTGGTTGGATGTCCCAGAGTGACTGGGAGCTTCACATGGCCACCGACAACTTTGAGAGCGGAGGCGAGGATTGGCCCGATGCTTATCGGCACAGCCATATCTCCGGCAGGGAGGAGAGCTATGGCTGTGCGGTTACCTGGTGGCATCATGAATGGCAACAACCAGCGTTCCAGCCCTACAATTCTCTGCGTTTGCAGTCAAACGCTATTCCAGGTTTGTGGAAGCCCTGGGAAGGCGCCTTCTTAGGCATGGTGTCTATGTATTTTGACGATGCGAATTTGGTGGACTGGGCCAGTTCTAAAGGAGCATGAGCATCCCAGGCATCCTTTTGCCAACTCAACAACATTCTCGGCACCCCCTTCGCAGTGGAGAAACACCAGCCTATATGTCAGCCAAAGGATTATTCCTCGGCTTAGAGCATGACTTCTCCCAGCTTCCTTCTACTGGAACAATCAGCTTTTGGCCTTGCCAGCGTCTCATAGACAAGATCACTCAAATGATAGCAAAGGCACGAGCTACAGCCGTTCTTCATCCAGGAACTGCATCCAAGATCTATGGCATGATTAACTTCCGCCAGCAAGGTACCTACGGTCGAATCGGAGCTAATGGGCTTACACCCATCACAAAACGACAATATGAAAAGGGCACGAGCCTTACCGTGCAGATCCTGACCAGCTTTGAAGTCATTGAGGTCGTACTTCGTGACAAATCCAGACGTCAATTTTTCATTTTTCCACCTCCCTGCCTACGGTTTGCTGGTGCGTCAGATGTAGCTTTGGAGCGCCCAAAGCAGGGCACTGGAGGTTTTTGTATCGTCTGGATGGACGGACCTGGTGAGACCAGGAGCCCTTCGTGGCGGACTTACCTCAGGCCGTGTATGACCTGTGGGAACCTGGTGACCGAAAGATTGCACAACTGGAGATGGTTGTCATCTTGCAAGCACTGGTATGTCGACCACACCCATTTCGTGAGCGACGCGGAGTGTGGTTCATCGATAACGTGGCGGTTCTCATGACATTAATCCGAGGTAGGAGTGATTTCCCAGACCTCGAAGTCATGAGTGGCATAATCCATGCACTCCTTTTTGGCTACAAAACTTGGATCTTTTGGGAGTGGGTTCCGTCCAAAAGTAATTGGACTGATTCCATCAGTCGCTTGGGGTGGAACGATCCCTGGCATCCATTCAATAATTTCACATCGCGCCGGCCTAGCTCCTTTTCCGGCCATTCTCTGGCGTCTTCCTCTGGCCTTCATCAACAGGGGTGATGGATCTGTGGGCACACCCAATGCATTATCCTGTAAGTGATACAGGTTGGAAGACCGTGTGAGAAAGGTATCTGGAAAAAGAGTGAGCGTGCTGATGAGTGAGGTAAGGGTTGTAACCTTCATAACTTATATTCCAACCTTTAAGGATTGTATGGCTGTCCAGTGTTTGACAGGCCTGGGTGGACACTGGTCATTTCTTGGTGGTTGGTTAAATAAGGTAAGACAAATGCCAATTTTGGCTCAAGTACATTGACCAAAAATAGCAGCATTGTTTTCCTTGCCCTCCCTAAATCAGGGATTTTGGCCCACCCTGTTATCAGGTCCCCTGTGGGGCAACCTTATAACTTGAAGTCTGCGCTGCAGATGGGGTCCTTGCGCAGGACACTGCGAATCCTTACAGATTGGAGGGGTTAACTGTACCAGTAGCCGGTGTGAATGGATAGCTGCATATCTTAGCCTAACTGATACAGGTTGCCTTCATCAGCAGGGCTGATGGATCTGTGGGCATACCCAATGCATTATCCTGTAAGTGATACAGGTTGGAAGACCGTCTGAGAAAGGTATCTGGAAAAAGAGTGAGCGTGCTGATGAGTGAGGTTAGGGTTGTAACCTTCATAACTTATCGAAGGAAGTTTAGAAGTCAAACTTCCGACAATATGGAGAGATGAAAAGCAGAGCAGGAAATAGGCAGAGAGAAGAGAAAGATTAGAAGAAAGAAGAGTAGAAGAGAAAGAGTAAGAAGACAGAAGATGCAGATGCGCGAAAAGGTAGGAAAGTCGCGAAACACTGTGTTTTTCCAATGATTTGTGGCTCCGGAGGGTCGAAAAGTAGGCTCGCCAAAGCGGCGGGTGCGGAGCCAGCTGGCCAGATGAGAGATGAAAAATTGCACGCCGTTGTGGCGCGAAGCACGTTTCCAAGTCAAAATGTACAAAACACACCATGATCGGACCACTTTTGGAAGTTGAGATGTCGAAAAAGTGCACGCCGTTGTGGCGCGAAGCGCATTTCGAAGTCAAAAGGTACAAAACACCTCAGCGTCGGACCACTCTTGGAAGTTGAGATGTCGAAAAAGTGCACGCCGTTGTGGCGCGAAGGACATTTCCAAGTCAAAATGTACAAAGCACACCAGGTCCGGACCACTTTTGCAAGTTGAGATGTCGAAAAAGTGCACGCCGTTGTGGCGCGAAGCACATTTCCAAGTCAAAAGGTTAAAAACGCCAGGGGTTCGGACCACTTTTGGAGGTTCGGATGTCGAAAAAGTGCACGCCGTTGTGGCGCGAAGCACATTTCGAAGTCAAAATGTTCAAAGCACTAGGGGTTCGGACCACTTTTGGAGGTTCAGATGTCGCTTTGCTTCAATACACTACACTACAGGACACTACACTACACTACACTCCAGTACACTACATTACACTACACTACACTCAACAACACTACAACTGCAACTACACTCCACTACACTCCACTACACTCCACTACACTAAATTACACTACGCTCCACTACACTACTAAAATTACATTACACTACACTACATGACACTACACTCCACTCCACTACACTACACTACATGACACTACACTACACTACACTACCTTCCACTACACTTCACTACATTACACTACACTCCACTACAACTACGCAACTGCACAACTACACAACTACACAACTACACTCCACTACACTCCACTACACTCCACTACACTCCACTACACTACATTACACTACACTACGTTACACTACACTACACTACGCTACCTTCCACTACACTTCACTACATTACACTACACTACACTCCACCACACTACAAATACAACTACAACTACACAACTACACTCCACTACACTACACTCCACTACACTAAATTACAGGACACTACACTACATTACACTACACTACATTACACTACACTACGCTCCACAACACTACAACTACAACTACACGCCACAGATAGATAGATAGATAGATAGATAGGTAATTAGATGAAAGAGAGAGAGAGATAGATAGATCGATAGATCGATAGATCGATACATAGATAGATACATAGAAGATAGGTTGGTAGGCAGGTAGATAGTCAGAGAAAGAGAGAGAAAGAGAGGAGACCTCAAGCACCTTTCGGTCCATCAGTGGCTTCGCTCTGCCATCCCTGAGTCACAACAACCAACCTCTCCTATAGGTTTCCTATTTTCGAAACTTCCGCCACCGCCTTGTGCGGTACTACTGGTATTCCAACCTTTAAGGAATGTTTATAGACTGACGCAGATTAAAGCAGTAGATAAGAATGAAACATTTGAAAGGGAACAACTGCAACGGAATTCCGATGAGACAGCCGATGCAGCTAAGAAAGTGAAAGAGGACATGCTTGAGATGAGAATGGTGATGATGTTGGAGACGTCCGTAGAATTAGTCATAGACAAACTTTTGGATTGCTCTGCTGAGGATGATATCCGCGATCGGACACAAAGATTCTTGATGAGATGGGCAGTCTACCTGCAAAATCTCAACAATTGCGGACTCCACTCCAAGAGACAAACGCTTTCCATAGGCGGCAGCGAAAGGCGCTGGAATATTATTCTAATATGCTCAGATCCAGTGCGCCGTCCTGTCCTTTGTCTCAGAGTTCTTGTGCCATTTACGATGAAAGACTCCTCAAAGTTCCTGCTGTTCCTTGTGCTACTTGTGCTTTGTGCTGCTTGTGCACTTAGGATTTGCTGATGCGCTGAACTCAACATCAAATTCTGCCATTCGGCAATCCAATTTGCGTGGCCCCCAGCTGCGCCAGATTTCCGGGCCATGTGCCATGATACATAAACATGTTGCTAGAATGTTACTACAATGTCAGTGACTAGAGGCAGGAATACAAGCTAGTGAAATGGCTGGATCACAGGGGTCAGAGGAACGTTGGAGGTAGAAATATGTAGAAAGGTTATGAAAGGTCACCAGCTGACGCAGGAAGGAGACCTAGCCGCATAGCGGTGTCACAATACTTGAGCATGTGCGGTGTATGTGCAGGATCCTGAACAACAACGTCGAAGGGAAAGCAGGATTCTATGGATCCGCTTCCTGGAATAGCGAAATGTCCAAAAATTGAGTGATGACATCGCATTGGAAACCAATGCTGATGTTGTTTATCCCATCATTTCACAGCATGTTATGGCACCTTTGGCCAATCATATGCCTTGAGAATCTATTGCTGGAGGCTGCTCCGAAGATTCATTGGGAGGATTTTGTGACTTGATTTAAGTGAAGCATCATATCCTCTAATTACTACTAGTTTGCTTTGGCATCTTCGGACAAGCTCTACTAGACCCAGACATATTTACGCCCAAATGTGTGCTGAAAGCACTACAAGAACGTCATTCCAGGCTCAGTGGGCTTTCAGTGAACTCTGGGATGGAGTGGCTCCTTGAGGCGTTTCTTGTGGGTAGCTTACCGAAGTTCTCGGATCATTTCTGTTACCCGGCAAACTGCAGACTCAAAAAGCTCAACTAGAGATGTCGCGCACCTCAAGTCAAGGAAGCCTATCAGGAACAAGACTATTTGCGAAAGCAAGAACATTCCTACAGAATCTGTGGGATCTGTGGGTGATTAGCATTGGTGATTCTATGCCATGAGTATTTGCCTTCCAGAAATTTACGACTTTAAACTAGTTTGAAGCAACATTTCATCACCAAACAGCAGAAGTACTCAACGTTTTGGAGATGCTGTGAGGATTTCAGATGGTTTTTCCTTGCTCTCAGACGGCGAACCGGATTGTGCAGTCATTTGATTGCCTTATTTGTGACACAATATCATGTGGCACCTCTGGCACCAAAGCTGAGCTAGTGGGAAGGGGTTTGGAAGTCCATTCAGACTTCAACTCGGTTCCCACACCCGAGCGTGGGCCTCGCAAGTGTTGAAGTGATAGGTTCGCTGGGCCCATTGAAACATATTGAAACTGGAACCTATCACTTAGAGCTCACTATAGCTCACTTATGTTTTGAGTTTCGCACTGTTCGTGTGGGGTGCTGATTCATTGCGTGTTCAGCTCCTTGATGTCATTTGCCCACAAAAATGCCAGGAATGCAGCGGTAGCCAGGCGTGATGCTAGCAATGGCAAACAAATTTCTGCTTGGCGCTGTTCCCAGTCGTTTTTTTTCATGTCTCTGGTTTAATTCACATAAGAATCAAGGCCTTCAAACCAGAGACTTCAGCAGCCTGATGGCTCCACTTTCTTCCAACATGTTGAGGCGCTTCCATCAATAAGTTTCACGGTCTGTTTTGATCTGTTTATGATTATGTCTGGACATGTTTAGATATACTGTCACCGTGCAAGGCCGACACTCCCTGGCTAAGGTCTGCTTGTTCAGCTCGTGATGCCCGAGGTGGACAGTTGCGGTCGGGGTTTTGTTCCTTCATTGCCCCAAGAGACAATGAATCTGAGGCGGTAAAGACAGCCACTCGCCATCCACGAGCAGCAGGATACACGAGCAGACCTCAGAATGAGCAACGCGCACTTACTCGGTGTATCCGCTTGAACTCTCGTGAAATCCGCTGTCATGCAGTGGATCATGGTCAGGGTAGTCTCCTCGTGTCTGATTCTTTGCTGTGGAATTGGCTCCAAGTTCCAAGTATCCCAATGCTAAAACCTAGTCTTAACTCATAGTTTCGAAATTTTGATTCCGAAAGTTCAAATGACGAAACTTGACCAAGCAAAGCGTTATCGTTGAATCCCTAACCGCCAGATAGGCTTGAGTCCAAAACCACGTGGAATTGGTGAGGTTGCAGTTGCACCACTGGCTTGTAAATAAGAAGGAAGCAGACCGTGCTCTTGTTTGCAAAAAATGAAACAGCCCAATGGTGTAGGAGAAGAACACAAACATAAAAGCAAAGATCAAAGGATTAAAAGATCAAAAGGTCAAAGCAAGGGAATCATTGTGGCCAAAGTCACACGCACTTGTGAGAATCTTAACGTCGTACAACGTGCACTGTGTTCCCACTCATGCTTTTGTGTTTTCTTTTCCGGTTTTTCATGTCCTGATGGATTCTCCTGATTCTCCTCAGAACGATGATCACTTCAAATAGCACAATAATGTCCTTGTTTGTCGAATGGTCATTGTTTGAAATGATATGGTCATGCAATCATGCAATGATAGAGTCGCTCCGTATCAAATGGAGCAACTGCATCCTGATTGAAACAATAGATAATGATCATTATATATGCTGTTGTGGCACCACCTTACCTTTCATTTTTGCATTTGCACATTCAAATCCTTTAACCTGTCAGGTGCTGAACTCAACCTGATGCGTAGCTGTTTTTTTCTTCAAGGGCCCCGTGGCCAGCCTATGCCCGCCAGATAGGGCTGCAAAGCAAGGAGAAAAACTAGAAGAACGAGCAGCTGCGGAGGCCTGGATCCGAAGAAGGCTTGGAATTTTAGGTGGCTGGGCCTCATGGATCAGGTTATGAGCCCAAAGCCTGCCCCTGCAAAGATGGAACCTATGATGCAAAGAAGAAAAGCTACCCCGAAAGAGCTTGAGCAAGGCCAAAGGGAAGTAGAAGAAGCACAAAGGAGGCTGGATCAACAGGTGAAAGATGAAGTAGCGTTAGAAGATAGGAAGGCTGAAGGTGATTCTAAGGAGGCTGAGACCCCCATACCGCCTGAGGAGAATATGGAAAGGGTTAAAGCTATAACTGAAGGTCCCCAGTCTTCAAAAGCTGCCTCACCTGAGGAAATCCGCCCTCTGAAAAATGCGCCTGAGGAACCTGGAGCCACTAAGGAGACTAAGGTTGCAGTTGCTGCTGAAGGTGTTTTGCCTTCACCGCAGTCAGCGCCGTTTCAAAGAACTTCGAAAGCTGCAGCCAGTGACCTGAAGACTCCAGAAAAGAAAGATGAAGAAGGACAGCATGGGGTTGGGAGTGTGGAAAAAAGCGTAGCACCTCAGTCAGACCCGAAGATGTCTGAACCTCCGCACATGTCCACGCCCATGACTCCTTTGTTTGATGAAAATCAACTTAGAAGGTTTCAAGAACTGTATGCACAAGCACCATGGCTATATCCACAACATGCCCCTCACGCTCCCTTGTCTCTGATGCCACCTGGGCAATTCTTGCCTCCGGTCCAACGACCTCTTTTCCTTGAACAAGATGAACGAAGAATGCATGAGGAGGGCCGGGTTGGGTCCAGCGGCTTTCATGGACATGGACATGATAGAAGCATGGATGTAGATAGAGAAAATCGAGAATTGAGAAGGAATTTGGAAAAAGTTTTGAGGGAGAATCAGCTCCTGAGGGAAAGGGTTGATGCGTTGGAGTTTCAAAAGTTGGATGAAGATCAGCGGTTTGCCCAAATGGCTCTGACGGCCAGCTTGAAAGACCCCCCAAAAAGGAGGCCGATAGACCCCCAAAAAGCCCAAGGGAGGCCGAGGAGGCTTTCAACTCCGGTTCAGGTAAGGAGGCTGAAAGACCTCATGATGGAAGTGGTAAAGGTTTTCAAAGATCAAGGGAGGCTGCAGACCCCCACAAAGGTGAAAAGACGTCAGCTGGCGATTCATCGGCTGCGTTCACGGAAAAGTCATTGGAAGTTATGGCATTGATGATGGAATCTATGAAAGAGATGCAAAAGCGCATGAACGACTCCAAGGATGATGCTGGTTTGGTGAAGGGTGTTGAAACGATTCGCACTGGCAGCCCAGATCTTCCAGCATTACAACCATGGGAAGCTCAGCATGGCCCCTTGATTCTTGGAGATTGGCTTTTACTGATGGAGCCCATCGTTGCAGACCTCTCCATGACGGCAGGGGAATGGTGGCGAATTACCGTCAAAGCAGCCGAAGAATGGTACAAGCTTCACATGAGCTTGAGCCTCTTGGAAAGAATCAAGCACCCCTGTGAAGCACCGCCTTTGGAGAAGTGGCAGAAGGTTGAAAGAAGGGTTTCTTCAATGATCCTCCAAGCTGTTCCCCAGGGTGTCCGCGAAGAACTTGTAGCCTCAAGGAGAATGACGACCTTTGGGATTGTCACGTATCTCTTGGTCGCCTATACCCCTGGAGGAGTTTCAGAAAAGTAAGACATCTTTATAAGCTTGGAGGAGCCCCCGGAGATTCAAAGCCTCAATGAAGCTCCTCGTGCACTACGACGTTGGCTTCGATGGAGAAACCGCGCAAAAGAAATAGGAGCTGTGCCCCCAGATCCAGCTCTACAACTCAAGGGACTTTTAAAGATGTCAAAGGAACAGCTGGAAAGTCAAAGGGAGCTACAGTTCAGGGTCCCTAGTCCAGTCTGGGCTTGGGGTTGACACTACGCCAAATGACACCAACGTGGAGCAGTTCGCTTACCACCTTCTTGCTGAGTTTGAACAGCTGGCTTTAACCGAAAAGAAGCCAGGTGCATCCACAGCAGCTGCCAAAGGTGAGCACCAGGTGATCCGATCTTGGGTCCCATCGATCAACTGCCGGATGAAGAATTTACAGATTTACCATTTCAGGTGTTTCGACACGTTTTGGCGGAGTTTATCATTTGAGCCGAAGCTTTCGACATTTGGCTTCGGTACACACTGGTCTGGCGAAAGAATCAAAAGGGTGCAGTCGATGCCCACGCTCTGCCTATCAAAATGGATCAGTTCCTGCTCTTGGTGCCACCCTGTTTCTGAGAGCGTACGGAAGTGCTGCACATTCAGATATGAGATGCCCTACAGCACTGGGATCGAATCATCTGCAACTGTGCACGGCATGTTTAGAAACCAAAAAATCAACAGCTTGAGCCTGGCTGAAAGGTGAAAGGTCCAAAGCGGATCTTTCAAGGGGGAGTGCTGTTGTGGCACCACCTTACCTATAATTTTTCTATTTGCACATTTCAAATCCTTTCACCTGTCAGGTGCTGAACTCAACCTGATGCGTAGCTGTTTTTTTCTTCAAGGGCCCCGTGGCCAAACTATGCCCGCCAGATAGGGCTGCAAAGCAAGGAGAAAAACTAGAAGAACGAGCAGCTGCGGAGGCCTGGATCCGAAGAAGGCTGGGAATTTTAGGTGCCTGGGCCTGGTGGAGCACTAGGGCTTCATCAATATATATATATATATAGATAGATATAGATATTTACATAAAACATATTAATTTGATCATCAAAATCATATACTAAACCGTATTCAAAAAGGCAACTGACTATCTATTTATATTATATATACATATATATATGTATGTATGATCGAAGGAAGTTTAGAAGTCAAACTTCTGACAGTATGGACAGATGGAAAAAGCAGAGGTGACAGCAGTCAGAGAAAAGAAACAATCAGAAGAGAAAGAGTCAGAAGAAAGAAGATCCAGGTGCGCGAAAAGAGAGAAAAGTCGCAAAACACTGTGTTTTTCCAGTGTTTTGTGGCCCTGGAGGGTCGAAAAGTAGGCTCGCTAAAGCGGCGGGTGTGGAGCCGTGTTGTCAGATGAGAGATTAAAAATTGCACGCCGTTGTGGTGCGAAGCATTCGAGGTCTCGGAGCATTTTTGGACGTTGAGATAGATGATGAACAAGTGCACGCCATTGTGGCGCGAAGCACAT